TGAAGTGAAATTGAAGTAACATTGTAGTATTAAAAAAAGATTAATATTAAAATATAAAAATAAATATTTTTTATGCGAATTAATGATTGATGATAATGATCTATGGTAATGCAAAAGAAATATTAAGCTCTATACAATTGCTACTGTTATATTAATTAATTTTATTTATTGAAATCAATAATATAATGGATTCAAAAAACCAATATTTACTTTTAAAATATTTGATTTTTTATGCTCTGTGCATGGCTCCTCAACTCCAAAGAGTCGTATACTATTTGAATTGAAATATGAGATCATTTATGTGTTGGTATTTATTTAAGATTTTTAAAATTTTATTAGGTATTTATTTTGTAATTTAGTAAAGATTTTAACTAATTTTATAATATAGTAAGAAATAAGATTTCAATTGTAACAATTTATTTTTAAAATGAAATAAATTCTATTTTTATTTTAATCAAAATTTTAAAATATGATAAATAAATGTACCTATTAAATCATTTAAAAATAAAGTAAATATATTTTCATATATGTACCACACACTTTAACTGAACAATATTCTTTGTCTTACCTTTGTCAATATATTGAAATTCTCCTATTTTACGAAATAATTGGGCTATATTCTTTTTTTTTTTTCTTCCCTCCATCAATTCCCCCATTTGATTTTTATTTTTTTGAGAGCAAAAAAGGGCATCTCTGTTCTTAAAAGCATATATATATATATATATATATGAAAAGTTACTTTGACTAATCATTCAAACACGTGATCGATCGATCCAAACTCTTTTACTGTCCTTGTTCTCAATTTTGCGTCCTTGTTCAAAAATAAATTATGGGTACCATCAAAGGAAAAAAAATTTAATTATACTACCAAAAAATTTCAACCATGTGAAAACTATTTTTTTATAAAAAAAGAAAATGGTTTATTGACTTTTACCGTGCTAGTGTGAAAATTTACGCAGAAGTAGAAAGCTGAAGGACTTTTACGGAAGATTATAAATACTGGGGTCCAGCCCTTCAATTTTGACTTTTTGAGTAATCCAGAAAATGGCAAGTTTGCCGTTCTAATAAGGTTTTCCCAAGTTTGCCACTCCCAAGTTTCCCAAGGTTAATTGTGTTAAATTTCACCTGCTAGAGAAATTTACATGTAACTTAAAAAAAAAAAAAGAAGTTGAAGGACTTTCAGTTTTGGGAATACTATAAATACTGGTGTCCAGCACTTCAATTTTGAATAATCCATCACTCCTTTGTTTGGTGAATTGTGTTCATCTTTAAGAAAATGGCAAGTTTAATAAGGTTTTTCCAAATCCT